GGGTGTCCGATTGAGAAAGAATGCCCCATATATATATATATATACAAAATATATCTACCAAACTGAATATGTGCATATAATTATGAAGTTGCAAAATGAAAGTAATGTTTAAACGTAATCATGTTATATATGCGCATCTTACTCTCGGATCCGACTAATGAAATGACCTTTTTTTTCGGTCGCTTCTGTATCATTGAAGGCTCCAATCCGCCCCTGCCCTCCTCGCCAGCCCGTTACTCTATATTTGGCAAACTCCTGAGTCGACGTCCCTGCGTGTTACTGTAGTAAGCGTGCATGTCAGTACATGCAATACATTCTTCTAGCATTGCATTGAGAAGATTGCAATCCTAAATCCAGCACTTTATGGTTATACGAAATTCCTTTACTTTGTAGAGTATCTTCTTGAGGTCATATATAAATGGAAAATCCTTTGACACATGGAACCGTGTCAAATGGCAGAATATTCTTTTGGATGTTCTTATATGAATTATCACTAAAGATTTTCATCGAATGTATATTTTTCGTAGTTATTCATATATGTCTGATAATATATTATTTTAGACAAATTTTATACCAATTTTATATAAAATATTGGATAAAAAGAAATGTGCAGGGTCCCCTCCGCGAGACTTCTCCCACCACTTGCAGGAAGGTAGATGGGATCAAGATGAACACAAAAGTCCCATACCGTTTAGTGATATTCGAAATAACATGTCCTATACCGTTAGCGATATTTACAATAAAAGTCCTATACCGTTTAGTAATAATACGCATTAATTTTTGTAATGATACTAATGAGAGCAGAGAAACGTTCCGGCCGCTCAAGATATAGCCCGGCCTAGTTTATCAAGTATTGGTTGCCGTTGGAGAGACAAGAGGGGAAGCGCATCATTGCTCGACGCCCGGCATCGCCGCTCACACGTTTCGCCGTTTTTTTCGACATGCTCTCATTAGTATGATTATAAAAATTAATATCTCGATTATTATTGCGAATATCGCTAAACGGTATAGCACTTTTGTGTTCCTCTCGATTCTATTTATTTGTAAGTGATGGGAGAAGTCTCGGACATCCTGTATATTATTTAAAATTCTCGTAATTAGGTAATCAATACGATCCGTTGAGCGTTGTGACCCTGTTCTTCCCTACATTCAGTGATCACGTAGTCGTTGTGACCCTGTTCTTCCCTACATTCAGTGATCACGTAGTTACTTTTCAGTTTCAGAACTGTTTGCCAATAGTCGTAGTTACTATCTAATTACTACTCAGTTACATAGACGTAAATAGTTGCTTTTCAGAACTATTTACCAATAGTAGTTAGTTACTATTCAATTACTATTAACGTACGCAGTTGCCAATAGTTACTAGTTGAGTAATTATATAAAAAATCGAGTAATTACAGAAATTTAAATAGTTTTAAATAGTTCCTTTTTATACGGAATATATGTATATAAACATTTTAGCGATAAGCATATCTGAATCGTTACGAATCCATATAACACATTCTATTCTTCGAAGAATTCGGAGAATGTCCTTAGGACATGCTCTGGAATGTCTTCAGGATGTCCCTGGGAGATTTATGGTGCAACAGAAACTGTATTCTTGTAATATCTTTCTTTATTTTCTTTTTTTCATTTTTTTTACATACGAAGAACTTTTTTGTATTAACGCTAACGTGTAAAGCATATAATCGACCGTACCTATGTTATTCATAATTCAATGATGATGTAAGTAATATGTTGATGATAATAATTATTCTTATGTTTGTAAAATATCCTTTAAAATGTAGATATTTACTTAAAAAAGATATATAGTTGCGTTTGAAAAGGACAATGGTTAAATTGAACTTTATACGCGATCGTACTTTATTTTACAATTATTTTGCAAAATGTCTCAAATTTTTGTTTTGTCGAATTTGAAGTCAATTCAAGTATTCTTTTATGCGTAGGTCCACCGCCGGTTCATCAACTAATAAGGAACGATAAGACTGAGAAGCCGCCAACTGTAACGGTTTCGAGTGCACCGACATTTTCATCGGTCCTCAGGCCGGAAGACGGACACCGTGGAATAGAATCCCCGCATTCGCAAACCGGTATGTATTTGCCAGTTTTCGTCGGTTTTCGGACTTACAAATTGTCCCTCTCTCTCTCGACAACCTTGCGAATCACTCGAATTTAGCTGCTTATGAAGATTCGTATGAGAAGAAAGGGATGGACGAGACATCAGAAAATATTCTAATATTGCGAAGATTGAATAATTGATTACTATAATTGCTGTAGGGTTGGGCGATATGCTTTTGCCAACGTATTAACCACATTTCGAATCATTAGAAATGTGGAAATAAACGTTTAATAATTCTTGTAATTTGTATTTAATGAGAGCTTTTTGATTTGATGAAGCAGGTTTATCAAGTTACGGAAATAGACTATATGAACAGACTTCGTATGTATTTAACAGGACTTAATAAGTAAATATTTTGAAATGCCGTTTTAAGACTTTATTTTTAAAAATATATTTGTAAGCCTGCTTTATTGAACTAAGGCAATTTTATTGTTGAGAAGAAGATATAGATTTCAATTGCTTCATGTGTTCTTTCGCATATAATAATTTCTAAGATATAGCTAATTTTAAAATTGCAATTAATGATGAATAAGATCCTTATCTCATTTTTAAGCAGCTACAGCTTATGAAAACTGCTTAAATCTAGGAATACTCGATTTAAATGTTAAATGAAATATTAAAAGAAGAAGAGTTACTGTTGTTTATTGGTAATAGAATCGAAATTATAATAATAAGTAACGCGTGTACGAATATTATATCAGTAAATATTTCTACAGAAATGTTTCTCGATAAATACTGAAGATTCTTAGAATTCTAATTACGATTTGAAACGAATCATCAAAATGCGCCATTAACGTTTGCAACGTCGAATCACGATCTCTTTTCTATCGAGGTACGTTTATATTGTTAGGTACAGCACAATTTTAGAATTTTTTCATTATTGCCCTCTTTATATACTCTCTCTCTCTCTCCCTTTCTCTTTCTCTCTTTCCTCCTCCTTTCCCTCTCCCTCCCTTCCTCCCCCCCTCTCTCTCCCTCTTTTTCCTTTCTGCGTGCGTTCACAGATCTGAAGCGCATGTTTGGTGATGAATAATTTTTAACTATATAACTTTAATAGGTATAAAGGTTATGCGTTTCGCGGGTTTCCTCCATGTCCAGATCCATTCTTGAGATGCCAACGTTTCGTGAACCTTACAGTCCTCCACTTCATCAGGGCGAGGGATAGTCTGATATTGAACTATTCCTCCAGGCCGTTCCTTTTTATATTACGTTGCTTGTTGGGGTGGTGGGGATGGGCGGAGGGGCCTTATTGAAGACCGACCAATTCCATCACCTCTTTCCCCTCCCACAACCCCTTCCCCCTCTCCGCCCATCCCCACCACCCCAACAAGCAGCGTAATATAAAAAGGAACGGCCTGGAGGAACAGCTCAGTATCAGGCTGCCCCTCGCTCTGATGAAGTGGACTGCAAGGTTCACGAAACGTTGGCATCTCAAGAATGGATCTGGACACGGAGGAAACCTGCGAAACGCATAACCTTTATACAGAAAGCACCTGTGGAAGCCTCAAGAATGTTATTAACTCTAATACGTATCTGACAGAACTCGCGTCGAACATTCTTTTAAAGCAATTAGTGCACTTATCGACATGTACTGGCAGAGAATAGAAACGAAATCATCTTGATAAATTTAGAAAGGAAAAAAAGGTGTATGAATACTAGCAAATTATGTAATCAACAATGAAACACTAATTAGAAATTTTACTTACGCATGAATTGATACATATATCTGTGTTCAGATTATTGTTGTGTTCGCAGCCTTTTCCGCAGTCTCGGATATCCGCGACATTTCTTTCTCACACGCATACTTCTCATTCGCGTGATAAAGAAACACACTATACTTCAGAAATTGAACTTGTTTATTGGGATCAGCAACGTAAAACAGGAAATAATTATGGAATGCCAAAATTTGTCGACATCCAGCGTAAAGTCCTTATCAGACTACGGGTTGACGATTATAATGAGCGGTTGCCTGGTTCTGTTAACTAATCGATGCAGCGAATCCATCATGATTAGCTAAAGCGGACAACCGTTAAACGTAATCGTCAATTCGTCTGATATGGACTTAAGGCGTTTTCAACAACAAAACATCTACTCGTAATCCGGGAAACACGTTTGTTTCTTGCTGCTTACTCAAATCGACATGAACCCAAGGGCAATTCGACACAAGTTATTTTTGCCTAACATTTGTCCCCCTTTCTTTTTTTCGAAATCGATTGTCATGTCGACAGTTCTTCTGGGAGTTCCTCTACAGATTATAGGATCCTATTCCTCCTTGAGGAAGATTTCAGAATGCCAGAATGGTTTCTTGGGTACCTATTATGGAATATGTTGGAACGAACTCCAATCGGAATTATTCTATTTTCCTTAGAAAACACAATAGAAATCTACGGAATAATTGAATAATTCCGATCAGAATCCATTCCGACCTTGTTCCATGATAAGCCTTACTTTGAGTTTTTGCTGCAGGTTATCGGGCTTCGTTTTCTTGGTTCCAATTTGCTCTCTGTTAGAAAATCAGGATCCCTCTTTCTCACCGCAGTCGACTTGCTTCTTTCCCACATTAGCCTTTTTTCACGAATCTTAAGCTTTAGAAGGGGAAGAGGCTCTTTTATAGAAGGATTCCAATTGACTACGTTACGATTCGACACATCCACTCATAGCGATCGGTGTCTTGGAGCTTTCCACTGTTCAAGCGCTGTAAATGGCTGGTGTCCAATCGTAACATATCCAATTAATACCGACTCCCTTTTATTCATCGTGGACTCAACACATTTTAAAAGGCTCTTCAGATTCTTGCCTTGGCGTTCGTTTCACGGCAAATCACAAATCGAAACCGTGGGTGAAATAGTATAATAGTCAAGTAAATATTACGTATGCGATGTTCGGAGAAATTCTTCTTTATCCAGATTACAAATTTGTCTCTTTTGTCCAGATTTCTTTAAAAAAACTCATTCAAAAATTTTCTTCTGGAGAAGCTCTTTACTTTTTGGAATATCCTTTTTGGAACCAGATTTGATCTAATAAAGAAAAAAAATTTTCAGTGCTATAACAGTCTTATTGAACTAATATATTTTTCTTTTCAACTACAATTGACTGAACTCCAACCTCTTTTCATACATCTACCTAACCATTAACACTTTTTATTGGACCGCCAATTTGGCTTATCTAGTGTTTTTTGTTTAATATTTAAAAATGAATATAAAAAGAATGGCTCAATAAAATACAAAAGAAAATTTTAAGTTAAGAATAGCTATGAGCCAAATAAACAAATTTTAACATAAAGGCTTTCAAAAAGAGATATAAAAATAGAAATAAAACAATATATATTTATTAAAACCTAAGCAATAAGTTATTACATACAAATGGACCTTCCGATACTTGTCTACGTTCTTTTCTGCTAATTGTTGGGGGTTGAAATCCATGTCGAAATTCAGCACATCTCGGCGTTAAAGGGTACGACTTTTTCTGCAGAAGCGAAATCTGCAATAAAACATGGGGGTTTTCTCATTTAAAATTTTAAAATTACCTACCCTTTCACCCCCAGCGGATGGTAGGTGGGGGGTAGAATTTTTGTGTCAATGGTAGCTTTCTTGACAACATTGAATACGTACATTTTTATTTTTTTTATCCTTTGAGTATTTCTTGAGATATTTAAACGTTTTAGACTCATTTTTTAATTTCGCTGATTACAGCGCCATCTGTCATCAAAAAAATGTTTGTAATAGGTAAAATTTATGTAACTTTTTCTGAAGAAGCGAAATCTGCAATAAAAAATGGGGGTTCCCATTTAAAATTTTAAACTTACCCTCTCTTTCACTCACAGCGGGTGGGGGTGGGGGGTCATGTTAGATGTCAAAAGATAGCTTTTTTGAAAACATTGAATACGTATATTTTCAGATTTTTGATCCGATGTGTATTTCTCGAGATATTCGACCGTTTCCACACTTTTCGGACACCCTGTATAAGTAATTTTTACATCATTTCTTGGTTACCTATACATACGATTTGAACGTTTCGGTTTACATTTAAGCGATCTTCAGTGCATACGACAACTAATTATGAAATTTTTGAAGTCATGGATTCTTCTTGGTGGATCTGAACCAAGAAGAATCCATGATTTCAAAAATTTCGAAATGTATGTGCAGATATCCAAGAAATGATGTAAAAATTACTTATTTAGGTAACCATTATGTGAATAGATACACACTAATGTTAACTGCGGTTGTTCTCAATTGCTCTTATTTCACATGATAAATTTCATAAATAAAAAACACTATATAAGCCAAATTGAAAACGGCCCAATAAAAAGTGTTAATGGTAACGTTCTTTTCACTAACACTGTCCTTATACACTCTTCCTCCCTTTTCTCACGAATTCTTTTCTTTTCAGAATCACATTCCTTTATTATTTTAATAGTTCTAAGCTTTACTGTCGCTGTTTGAACTCTCTAATGGCAAGTTTGTAAATTTTCAATGTCTGTTTTAAAATTAAATTCGGGATAAACTTTGAGTAAATTCGGGATCTAAATATAAATTAATAGTTATTCACATATATATCTTAATAAATACTTATTAAATGGAACAAGTGGACACATTTTATTAGTTTGAAAGCAGATTTTGATAGATTAATCTTATATTAGGTGTTAAACCTAATTCCTGCCGTTTTTCGTCTCCAAAATTGATTTGTTTCGAAGGGAAGATGAATGAATACTTTAATCAAAATAATTTCCTCCATTTTCTACTTTATTACTAATTAATAATACTTTATTAATAATACTTTGATTAAGGTATTTTCCTTCGAAACAAATCAATTTTGGAGACGAAAAACGGCAGGAATTAAGTTTAACACCTAATATTTATTAATTAATTTAAATATAGAATTCAAACAGCGATACAAAAGCCTAGGATTAAAATAATATAAGAATGTGATTCTGTGAAAGATATATACACTCATCGGCAAAAAAAAACGGACCACTAAATTTTAGCATAAATTTTTAATACTTTCAAATAGTGATAACTTAATGAAAAATCATCGTATCGAGATAAACCACAGCTCAA